CAAAAGGCCAGTATAAACGCACACTGCAATGCGTCACATCGGCACCGTGGTGTTGCTGCAGAGTGTGCTGATGCAAACCAGCACGGTCTGACTCTGTGACTTCGTGTCAGGTGTGCAGACTTCAGTCCCCAGAAAGCCAGCTGTGTGAGTTTTCTTCACCCCCCCCAGTAAAAAAGAATTAAAATCCAACCGTCAGAGCTACTTGCCTTTTGATCTTTACGTACAATACCAATTTCTCTTTGTGTTATATATGAGGAATTGTTCATGCTTTTAATTTCTGTACCTTTTCTTTAAAACTGGAATTATAACCATGCAGCAGTATGCTCTTATATTAGCCAGTTCAGTGTAGTAAATTAAGCTTGAATTCATTATGTTTCTAATATTCATTTGATAGTTGATTTTGTTCTGAATTATTTTGCATGGTTTATGTAACTAACGATTTATATAATTTGGCAATTTATTATTGTATTACTGCTTTATGGTGGCCTACAATAGAGCACTCCGATTTCTTCTACATTAGACTCCGCCAACCTTCTGTAGTACAAGAAACCATTATGGTTCTTTTTTGGCTGTGACACCTTTATATGTACTACAAACAATACACGTTTCTTGTCCTGTTAGTAGCAACAACCATTTCACTCATGATATGTGTACATACAGTATATCCATGATAAGGATGTTTCTGCACTTTGAACCCCACAAGCTTGCTGAATTTTTACAGTCTTGAGCTGAAGGATCTACAGCCTATGCAGAAGTGATTCAATTCAAGTCAAAAGCCTAGAAGACTGAACAACATCTACATATATTAGAAAAAGATCACAGTACACATGAAAGGACATTGGCATACATACAGGTATTTACAAGAAGCTCATATCCAAGATGCAACAGCAATTGTCTAGTTTTCTTAAATTAGAGGACTCCATGTTTACAACTGAGAGTAAGAGCCACTTCTTTACCAGAGAGTTCTGGCAATCTGGGACAAGCCACCCAGACATGTTTTTGAGGCCGATACCCTGGCTTCCTTCAAACATCAACTCAGTGAGATCCTGGGATTGAGGAGCTGCTCACTACCAACAGGGGTTAGCTGGGGGAAAATGGCTGCCTCGTGTTGGGAACATTTTGTGTTCTTTCCTGTTCAATAAGAACATCTCACTGGCGGAGGACCGACCTGTCCAGCAGGCAAATGGCAGTCAGCTTCACACTGTGCAGGCTGCCTGACTCCTACAGGTACAGTGCAGCCTTAAAGTTCCCTAAAGGTGTCATACAAAAGTCCCTGGGGCTCTGAATTCAGCCTCACTGACAATTTAACCCTTTCCTTTGGTTTCGCTCCAACGTCTCACTGTCCCAGCAGATCGTGAGAATGAACCCTCAGCTCGTCCCGCTGGCCGCACAGTCCTCCTGGCTCCAGACTCCCTGAGTAAGCACACTCCGCGACCTTATTAGAAAGCCTTTCAGCACGGCTGTTGGAAAGAGTCAGAGAGAGAGAATCTCAGAAAACGCAGAGTCTGACATACATGGACAAAGTGAAATCCTAGATTGAAAGATCATTTCCTCACTTCTGTTCTGTATGGGTTTTTATTTTACTTTATTTATTTTTTTGCCCTGCTTTCTTCACTTCCAGCCCCATCTCCAGTTCTGAAATAGTGCACAAGTGTTGTAAGGGAGAGGAAAACAATAAGAGAGCTTCTTCAAAATCCAGCAAAATGTAGCCCAGCTCAGTCTGCAGTGGCTCGATTTTTAATTGAAGGTCGATGAATTTTCACCAGCGGAACAACCAGTGTGAAACAGGAATGTCCCAGAGTGCTACGGACACATGTTCTTTTGTGTTTGCAGTCCTGGTTATTGTTTTGTTTTCTCTTCAGAAAGCAAAGCTGGACAGCTTTAGCTGTGTCAGCTTTTTCTTTTGAGAAGATGAGAACACTTTCATGTGAGACTGATGGGTTACAGGGAAAAGCAGACGTATGCTTTTAAAGAATTTAAGAACCTCTTACAGACCCCTAATCATTTTAAACAACCAGAATATAATTAAGGGAATACTGAAATGGTATCTTTCACTGTTTAGTTTAAATCTCAATCTGTGATTCCTCTTCCTGATCTGTATCAATATTGAAATAGGAAATAAACTAGTTAAATTTGCACAAGATACTAAAATAGAAATATAGATTTCTTAGAATCTTAAAATAGAAAGATTGGTTGGACATTTGGAAAATGAAATTCAACGCTGATCAGTGTACGGTGACCTACGCAGGAGGTAGGAAGATACCTTATAAAAGTCACATGGTGTTTCAGGCTGCAGGAAGCTGAAATGAAGGGGATCTGTGTATTTGTGTAGTTTCTATATTAAGGTAACATTGTAAAGCAATAAAAAAAGGAAACAGAATTCCTCCGTTTATGTCGAAAAGTGGAATTTAAATGAAGGTGTTATACACAAGCTTTAGAACTAGTAAGCTGTCATCATATAGACGATTGTCTTCAGTTTTGATCACCATACCCAAGAAAGAAGGAAACAGCCTTAAAAAGAATAAGAACGATATCTGGTCTCAAGAGATAGTCATGTATGGACAGGTTAAAGTAACTCAATATCTTCAGTCTACTTTCTCTGTAGATCTCCCACAAACGTGCAGAGCTCCTTCTATGATTTTTATTCTAATATGATTCAAGTCTCACATTGTAGACTAACATGAAATGAGAGTAACTCCTGATGCGGTACACTGACGATGTTAGCCAAGTGCTGGCTGATGTGAACTGTTACAATGGGAAATGTTATCACTTCCCAGAAACAAGAGCGGAATTAAAGGGCGATTGGGGACTTGTTTTTTTTTAATTGGGATTATATATTTGGGTGAATACATAAAAATGAGGGTTTAACTGCTTGCTAACCCTTATGAATGTTTATCTGGGCAAATGTGCGACAGGAATTTTGCACTTCATGGTATCCAGAATTTTGCTGTAGTTTTGTGGTGTTTTTATGGTGTTGATATGTGTCTTCACTCTGATTTATTGCGCAGGACCATGGAAATGCTATTATGTTATTACACCAAACATTCCTCTGTCACATTAGTCATGTAATGACAAATCCCATGGTCCCCCTAGATATCCCACTGGTCACTGCTTATTTCTTCTTACATCAGCCACACAAGCACACATACGACGTGGACCAGAAACCATTCAGGAAGGTGGTTGGGAGTCATCTTCAGAAGCACGGTAAACTGCAGTTATCACCCCCAGCTCGGCCAGCTAGCAGAGCTGCGATCCGAGTAAAGCCTTGCACGGCGTTTCACGCCTTCCCTCTGGGAATGACAGTCGCCTGCTTTTGACTTCTGAGGGGTGAAATCACGTGCAATACCTGGCTTCCGTTATCTTGGGACACTCAAGCGGAGAAGCTGCCGGCATGCCTGTAAAACAGAGATTGATAGGCGAAATTAACTGTGAGGGTGTAATCTGAGGCAGATATGAAAGGACGAAGGCAACATATTGCCGACATCAATCAAAAGCTCTGTTAACCTTATTATGCCTGTGTTATGGTTGCTATTATACCTCATAGGCAGAGAGTTGTACTGATATAGAAATAACTGATGTGAATGCATCAGAACCAAACTCTAATGTCTTCAGAGAAGATGTCTTCAGAAGCCCCCGGTGGTGCTGTGGATGACAAATGCACTTTCACTGCTGTATAATGTATAAAGCTGGGGTCTCCCACCCTGGTCCTGGGGAGCCCCAGTCCAGCAGGTTTCGTGGGAATCTTTTAAATCATCGGTTTTTGCAGACCTGGAGCAATTTATGATCAATTAAACAAGTGAGAAGTCATTTAGTAAGTCATTTGATTTCTTGTTTTATCAATTGTTGGAAAAAGGGTTTATTACCTTTAAATAAGACAGAGCTTATTTATAATCAGGTTGGAGGAGCTCCTGTTTTAGATACCCTATGTGCTGGTCCAAAGATTACTTGACACACACAATTTTAAGAGCATAACAGCTCAGTACCTGTACTTGATAGAGAGTTACCCTGCTACATGTTTTTCAGTTTTATACTGTGTTGTCTATAAAGCTCATGTATTTGGTTGTAGCATCCTATTCATCAAATTACCCTACACAAAATAATATGTTTTGTTTTCATTTTTATTTAAAAATATTGTATATTTTATTATATTTTTACTATAGTAAAAATATTTTACTAAATAACCATATAAAGGGAGTCCCAAGAAACAAGCTAATTTTCAAATTAGCTCTAATTAATAGTTCTATCAATTTACAAGATTGAAATGCCGCATGACTAAAATGGAGGTTTTTGTATAGTTTTGTATTTCAAGTTAAGCTGTGAAGCCTTAACTCTTATTAGCTTGTTTGCATTTCGCAGTATGTCATTTTTGGAGATGCACCAAATAGGAAAACAGAGATTTCCGCATTGTAATCGTCCGAAAGTGTTGTGGGTTGTTTCCAGAAATCGGGAACCAGAGTCATTATTTGAGTAATGAAGTAGACATATTTTCCAAGCAAAGAAAAGGCGTAAACAGATCCAAGTGCAGCTGCTTAAAATCAGTTTTTAATTGTAACTAGATATTTTTTTTGAGTTAGCTCTGTATATGTTTTCAAAGTTGCTTACCAAATACCACATTAATATTACAGTATGTCACAATTCCAACACTCCTTACATTTCAGTCTTGTGGTCAAATCTCTGGACGATAAATCAGAGATTTATTTAGTTTCCCTTGACTTGGAAAGTACGTTTGTGCCTTGTTTAAAGTAGCTTTTAATTGGCCTTAAACCAGTTACAGTAGATGACACAGAAACCACGGCCAAAATCTGGTTTCTTTGCCTTGCTTGCGGAGACATCTTGGAGAGTCCTGAGAAGGTGTGCGTTCCGGAAGCGTCGCCACCGGTTTTCTAAATAATGATGGATCCTTTCTAGCTGTGGAATTCTCTGCTCCTGCTGTCTGGCACAGTGCGTCCGTGTTGCCGGACCCCTGTCTGGAGTACCACCTTTGTGCTTCTCGCTTACAGGTAGTGCTGCCGACATGACTGGGGGCCCTGCGCATCCTGCAACATGCCGAGGAGAAGAAGCATTCTCACCACTGTGTTCATTGTGCTGCCCTGGACCATCCTGCTCACCATCTGGCACCAGAATCCCGCCACCCGCTACCTCACCATCCTCCGCAGTAAGCCCACTGAACACAGCAGCTGGCACTTGGGGAGGGGCAGAGGACCAGGAACCTGAGGTGAAGGTCAGACTGTAGCTACAGGGTCTGAAGAATCAAGCAGGATCTCGCTGAAGGAGCCTTCCAAGAGGACAGGGTCACTGCGGAAGAACATAACCACTGTCGGCAGCATTTCGGAGGGGAATTAGAAATGCCCAGGCAGAATATTGGAATGTTTTAATGTTTTAATTAAGATGCACGTTGTGTCATTCTACCTGGAGTGTTAAGGCACAGACCTGCTGTTTTAGGGGTGCTTCGACAGGAAACTGGTGCCTTCAGGAGGCTTCATGAAGGAACAAGAATTACCTGACAGTTGTAATTCGTTCAGTTCCTGACTTGGTTCCTGACTTGGTTTTCAGCATGGAATGACTTGCATTTTTATAGTTGTCCTTACTCTGAATGAGGTTAATGAACACCCAGACAGCAGACAGTTGTCTTCTTGTTTACACGAGAATTCCTGCACAAGTCTGTCCTTGACACTGTCTCTGAAACCAAGAGAAGTCTGTCCCCTCAATCATTGTTGTTGCCTCTTCACTGAAGGGGACACCCACCCTCTATACTAGGATGTATATTGTGTTGCCTTTTCATTTTTTTTAAGGAATGAAAAACAAAAAGAGAGGCAGTATTGAACTGTACTGATGTTTTCTTCTTCCCCTCCATTCAGAAGACACGTATGAAAACAGCAGTACCAGAAGTCTACAACCTTTGGGCAATGCAACTCAAGCCAAGGAGGAGAGCGCCACCTGTCCCCGCCCGCACACGCCCCACCCTCCGCGGCCGAGCACCCGCGGGCCCGTCTATTCCAGGCCACCTCCCTGGTCCAAGCTCCTGCCCACCATCTATGTGATCACTCCCACCTACACGCGGCCCGTCCAGAAGGCAGAGCTGACCCGGCTGGCCAACACCTTCCTGCACGTCCAGAACCTGCACTGGATTGTAGTGGAGGATTCTCCCAGGAGGACCAACCTGGTAGCCAAGGTCCTGGAGAGCAGCGGCCTGAACTTCACCCACATCCACGTGGAGAGCCCCAAGAGTGTCAGGGTGGGCTTGGCCAGGGCTGCCACTCACACCCCCAGGGGGACCCTGCAGAGGAACCTGGGTCTGCGCTGGCTGAGGGACAGCCTGGTCCTCAGCGACTCCCTGGAAGGCGTGGTCTACTTTGCGGATGACGATAACACCTACAGCCTGGAGCTGTTTGAGGAGGTAGTGTCTGCAGAGACGTCCGCAAGAGTCCAGTTTGTGAAATTAAAGAAATTAAAGCTATTACTCTAGTATCCAAAATTGTAAAAGCAAATTAGGATGTGTGTAATTTTAGAACTTGTATCGAAATGACCTGTTTTCATTAGATGATGTTCCATTTACACAATGGCATGAAATATTTAATACATTTCTGTTGTCTAAAGACTTTGATGTGATACACTTTCAGAAACTTACCAAGGGGGTTGCCAGGTGGTGCAGACCCTTGATCTGCCTCTTTTTAAACGTAAATATTGTAAATATTATTGCCTTTCACGTCCATCGCTGACTATTATGTGTTCGTGTTTTCTTCATTGCTCACACGGCGATCTGTACTGGTTTCGTGCCTGTTCTGATTGCTGGTATTTGAAATATCGCCCCTGGTTACAGATGAGGTACACGCGGAAGGTGTCCGTCTGGCCCGTGGCGTTTGTTGGAGGTTTGCGCTACGAGGCCCCAAAGGTCAACGCGGAGGGCAGGGTGGTTGGCTGGAAAACCGTGTTTGACCCCAGCCGTCCATTCGCGATCGACATGGCGGGCTTTGCCATCAACGTCAGGCTGGTGCTCATGAGGCCGCAGGCCAACTTTCAGCTGAACGGAGTCAAAGGAGGGTACCAGGAAACGAGCCTGCTGAAGGACCTTGTCACCATGGCTGAGCTGGAGCCCAGAGCTGCTAACTGTACGAAGGTAGGAGTCTGCACGTCTCCCACGCGCTGGGGCTGAGCAGGTCTTCGTCAGCAGAGGGCGAGCAGATATGCAACCTGGGGTTAGTTCAGAGGTATCCCAGTGTTCACCTCTTCTGGGGAATCTCAGGATATTGCACAATTCAGACTCGTACCTCTCCCAACACACTTACTTGTACTTTGACCCTTATCAAAGACTGGTTTTGATAGTATCAATTTATAAAGATAGCTTTATAAATGTAGTATCTGTATCACTAGACTGTATCCTTACTTGACATGATACTTCACAGTTGAAATGCTGTTATTGACAGTGGGGAAGATGCGTCTCTTGGCCTCTTCAGTAATGGTTACCTTGTTCCATGGTTAAATTATATATACGTTACGCACCTTAAGACCATATTTTGACAGCTGTGGCACCACCTTCTAGTCTGCGCTCTCGAGATCTCAGGAGATAGGCGAGGCTGGGCCTGGTCGGTACTGGGATGGGTGGCTTCTGAGGAAAACCAGTTTGCTTCTGTAAGTGTTGCTGGTGAACCAGCACTCTTCCCTGTGAACCGATGCCGGTTCCCCAGTGTGGGGACCAGGGACACCGTGTTGGCGTTGTCCTTCACATGAAGGTCCCCTGGCTTGTCCCATTGTTCAATACAGTTGGAGCATTAGCCCCAGTGTCCTGGTTAACTTCCACTCTGGGACTGAACGATCTTGTAAAGAGCTTTGGTATGGCAGCTGCTGTATAAAAGCAATTAACTAGGATTATAATAATTATCTTAATTTTTTTAGGTTAGTACTGTGATTTTGGTATGGAAATAAAATATAATACAGAGTGAATTCATTCACATGAAGGGTCTAGTTTCTCACCATAACATTATTTTTAAAGTAAGCTGTTATTTTAATTTCTAAATTGTAATTTCAGCAGAGTTACTACCATCTTGTTCACACAAGGCATTCTGAGAAGCTTTTGCCAGTCGAGCATTGGTGAATGAGTACTCTCACAGTACCATTTTCCGCTGAGCTGAAATACCAGAAGCCATAGATCATTCTCTTTCGTAGGGCTTCATCGCAACACACAGACAATGAATTTAGAGGATACAGATAATAATGGAGCATTGATGGCAAAATTCATAAGATCTTATGCGAGCACTGACACACATCAGCATTGCATAGTCTGGATTTTTTCACTGCCAGTTTTTTCTTCAGTGCTGCCACAACAAAAGACATTTTGTTTAGACATAAAGACACTCTTAAGACATAGCACTGGAATGCCTTTATCAGCCAAGACAATTTGGTTCCTTTCTTAAGGGGAATTCGATTTTTTTGTCCAGCAATAACTGTGACAGCACAATTGAGCCATCAAAAAATAAACTGTAGGTGTCTTTGTGATAATTTCTTTATTGTAGGATCTTATCAATAAGAATTGATTCTTAACGTATTCCTGGCTGAGTTGAGTGAAAAAGTCGAGAAGAGTAAGCCTGTTTATCAAGAGTATGATTTTGCAGCTTTAATGAATAATGAATAATTATGTGCTTTTCGCTTACGAACATATGAAGCAAAAGAGAATTAAAGATGCAGGATATTCCGTGAAATCCACTTTTGGACTTGTTGTTAGGCTACCACTGTTATGAAAGCTGACTGACCTTCTTGTCTGTGTTACATCCTTCCATGTTTTCACTATTAGTTGTCCTAATTTGCTTTTATTATTTGATGGTCGTGAGTATGGGTATGGAGAGGACAGAGAGTAAAAATCAGAGATTTCCCCCGGATTCCTCCCTTTCTGTTAACATTACTGCCTTAGTACTGCTTGTCTGAGCTGGCATTAATGCCCAGATCATGTTCTGATTTTAAGATCCTCTATTCAGGAATGTTTCAGCATTAAAACATTAAGCGAAGACGTATTAAGTATATTGAGTATGCTTCTGATAATCCAGGCATTCTCTGCTTTTTCAGTGCCTGTGAGCACCTGCTTCAGCACATTTTAATTAAGGGTAAAACCATCTGGATGAGGATATGTGGTGTGGCAGCACAATACTGAAAACTATTGAATTATGCATAGTGACTGGATTAAAACTTTGAAGCTCAAGGGCCTAACACTTCATATTTAAAGCAGTTTCCAATTGCGATGAACACTAACTTCAGTCGTTTCCGTTCTCTGGTGTTAGTGTTTGTTCAGTGGGTGTTTTTAAGTGGGGGTAACACCAAGGCTGTCCAGCCCTGAATTCACTTATGCTGGAATCTGAGAATTTTAAAAGTAGAGCCTTTTGTACAGTTAAAGCACTCTGGGCACAGGAGAAAAAGAAAAGGAAAGAGAACCTGTTGTTCTTATCCTCTGACGTGTGCTAAAAATGAGCGCTCTTCTGGTGTCTGGTGTCAAACTTGTCATTTTCAATAGCTTGGCTATCGGGGTGGTCAAGTGTTTTTGAGAGCATTTAGATTCACTTTCTCGGCTCTTTGTGACCTCTCCAGTTCCGCTTTCTAAGATGCTAGCCATTACACTGGCGCTCTAATAAATAATAATAAATAAAAATAAACTCAGATTTCAGAAAGGTTGATTGGAAAACTCAGAGTATTTAAAATCCTCAAAGGCACTGCGAGACTCCCAGTGGAGTAGTGGACTTCTGCATCAGCAGTCAAACCTTAACTGGAGGTCACAAGTAGAAACGACGTTGCATTTAAATCTGAGAGCAAACGGCACTGCTCTGCACAAAGAGTGGTGGGAGTCTGACGCAGGCTGCCCAGTCACGTTGTCGGAGTGGAAACCCTTGCTCCTTACAAGACACGGCTGGGTGAGCTCCTCAGATCAATTAGCTACTAGCCACATGCGGCGGGTGGCCTCCACTCGTTCTGACTGTTCTTAAGGGCTTACCCCAGGTACAGCATACAGAAAACTGGCTGAGTGGTCAGTCTTTAAATCACTCGACTCTGCTGTACGTGGGCCAGGTGCCCTCAGTGAGCTAGATAGAATTCAATACTTCAGAGATCCCTTGAAATGAAAAAGCTTAGACCCATTCCGCTGCAGCTGCTGAGAAGGGTGCTGATGGACTATAAAACCTGATGGAGTGTCTCTCTCCTGCATGAGGGTCTGCCCCCCCACGCCGTGTTACACTC